CGTGTGAAGACGGAGACACACAGGAGGCTGCCCCTCGACAACAAAGACAGACTGGAGTGATGCATCGACAAGCCAAGGGTTGTCTGTAACCACCAGCAGCTGGGAAGAGGGGGGAAGGATCCTCCCATGCGGGTTTCCGTGGGAGCCCGGCCCTCCCCACACCTTCATGTCAGACCTCTGGCCTCAAAGTGTGAGACAGTACATTGTGGTTGTTCTAAGCCAGCTGGTTCGGGGTCCTTTGTTACGGCAGCCCTGGGAAACGGATGCAATACTCAATAGGCATTGGTGGAGTTTTTAAGTGTCTTCAGGTGCAAAACGGAGTATTCTGCCCCAGCATTCATACCCTGATAGCCTAGCCTCTGGACTTTCATCTTTTTTCTCCACCGTTTGTGTCCTTTGCAATTCATCCAGTGTAGATCACTGACTAATTTTGTGCTACTTTATTATAAAAACCTTTGCTTCTTACAGCAGCAAGTTCTCATGTGTACCACGTTGGAAAGAATTAAGATCTTTGCCATAAAGCATCTTTGTGTAGCTCAGCAGCTACTGCCCAGACTGCGATTTCTTTCAGCAGCAGGTTGCTTCTTGGTGCTCGAGGGAAGCGCAGGAGGCCCGGGCTCCCTTCCCTCTTCTCCTTTCAACTGGCAAGAAACAGAATCAAATCAGAGTGGCTTTAAAAATAAGGAAATGTACGCTCTTGCAAAACGGGAGCTCCAGGCCCAGAGGTTGCTCAGGGGCTGTGTGTTAGTGTCTCGGCTCAGGGAGGTCACTGGGGTTGCCGGCCCCTCTGTCTTCTGTCTGGAGGACAGATCTCATCCTAAGGCAGGTGTCCCCATGACCATAATGATAGCTGACTGCAGCAGATGGGCAGCCTGCTTTCTGTTCGTGACCTGTGGGGTCTCTTTGGTGTGTTGATGTTAAGATCAGGGACATTTTCCCCATGGGCCTCCACAACAACTTTCTCTCTTCTTTGTCCCATCCCTGAACCAGCCACTGCCAAAGGGGGTGGAATTAAGTCATTGGCCCAGACTTAACCATCTGAGGATGAATGGGCTCTGGAGAGAGACACATGGTGCCCCTGGGCACTCTCCAAATTAGTGACTCTTATGCAGTGTTGGTGGGCAGAATACCGCCCTCCCCAAAGGTGTCTCCATCTTCATCCCAAAGGGGACTCTGCAGCTGTGATGCAGTTAAGGATCTTGAGGCGGGGAGATTATGCTGGATTATCCAGCTGGGTCTGTGTAATCACAATGGTTCTTATAAGAAGGAGGTAGAGGATCAGTGTCAGAGAAGATGTGAGGACCCTGCAGAGGTCAGAGAAGAGAAAAGATGCTAAGCTGCTGGCTTTGAAGATGCTGGAAGAGACCACAAGCCAAGGGATGCAGGCAGCCCCTAGAGGCTGGAAAAGGCAAGGAACAGATTCGTCCCTAGAGCCTCCAGAAGAAACACAGCCCTCCTGACACCTTGAGTTTAGCCCAGTGTAACAGATTTTGGACTTCTGACTTCTAGAACTGTAAGATAATAAATGTGTATTGCTTTAAGCCATTAAGTTTGTAGTGATTGATTATAAAAGCAATAGGAAGTGAATATACCATTGTTCCTTTGGATGGATCTTGCATCAGTCTAGACCTTTTCTAAGAGAAGACTCTTGTATTTATTTTGAATATTCTATAGTGTGTACGTAGAAGACACACAAAGATGTATGGATTAAACAAAAGACAAACCCAGCCCCCCAGGTCCTGCCTCCAGGTATAGGCCTGCCCGCCTGGTGATCCGCTCTCAGAATGGTAGATGGTGGCTCCTTCCTTCAGCACCAGTGCTGGGTGCGGGGAATCCAAAAACAAGTAAGCTCTTGTCCTCACTCACAAGCTGCTGAGTGTCTCAGCTATCCATTTGATTCCATAAATATTCTCACTGTCAGATCGGAGCCCTTCCAGATGTCTGCTCTGTCTTTGTAGCTAAAGCCGGTTTCCTCTGAAGCTTTTTCAAACTTGCTGATTTTTTTTTTTTTGGGGTGAGTTTTAGCAAGGGTCAGGAAGAGCATAAGATGTTAAGCACATCCACAGATAGAGCTATTTTTAGGGTGCCCCATGTTGCTGCGATCAGCAGTAATTCCCGCGGACGGGTCCCGGGGTCCGTGGAGGTCACCCGCCTGTCTTCTGCCCTGTGCCAGTTGGACAGAGACGCGCTGTTTGGAAGTTGTCTTTGCCGTTTTCATTTCCTCCCCTCTCAGGCTTTCCTGTGCTGCGGGGCCCGTGTAGGACCTGCTTGTTATTGTACCATAGACCGGCTGTTTCTGGGAAGGAACAGAAGGAAGCCTCCGGCTTTCCTGGGGGTGACACACGACCGGTGGCCGTCTAGGGAAAATGTCTGGGAACGTAACAGAAATAATGGAGAGGAGAAATGGGGGGAGGGAACCGACCTTGAGTGATCTTTTCCAAGCCCGGAAGCCCGTCTTGGGGAAACTGAGGCAGGGGTTATCCGTGAAGCACTTGCCCATCCCTGCGCTCTCGGGGGTAGCTTAGCAAGGACAGGAGCTCAGTCCTGTGGTACCAGTTCGACATTTCTGGGCTGCACAGCCAGAATTTGAGAGCGGGGCTTTAAAGACCTAACGGCCCTCATAGCGTGTCGCTCAGTAAATTCAGTGGTATTCATTCTAGGCTCTTGGCTCTGCCCCTGCCCCACCTTCCACTGTCTGTAGTCAGAGCCATATGCTGAGTGGTGAAACGCATAGGTTCTGGAGGCTCGGCCTGGGTTGGAACCCCACTTAACTAGAAGCATGACCTTGGGCAAATTCCACAAGACACTTTTCCTGTCTATAAAATGGGGATATAATTGTACTAGCAGAACCAGGAGCGTTTCGAGGGTTGAGGGAGTTCCTGTGTGCACGGCACTTCTCCCTGCGCCCGGCACAGCCTGAGCTCCATCCAGGTGACTCACCTTCTCACGACCTTCAGCGCCGCCAGCCTTGCCTGGAGAGGACTACATTGCTACTCCAGGGCCGGTCTGTGTTCTATGCTTTATTGACCCTGCTCCCCAGAATGGGATTCTGCTTCCAGTTTTTACTGTTGTCAGCATTTCGAGGACTGCCCTCCTGGGGAAGGATTTGCTCTCGTCCTTAATTGTTTTCTTTGGTTAAATTTCTAGAAGTAGAATTGCCGTGTCCAAGAGGGGACTCGTTTTTAAAGGCTTTCCTGGATGGATGCTGCCAGATTCTCCTCCAGAAAAGGGACTAGTTTACACTCCTTCCAGCAGTGCATGAGTGTGCCAGCTTCCTTGCATGGCCAGGTTATTAACTTTTAATCAAATGAAGGCCCAGGAAAAACAGGAGTTATTTCCCTGGGGATAAAGTGTTCCTTGCCTTTGCTCCTGAAGCAATAAAAGCTTGCCCGTGGCGCGCGTGCAGGCAGCGCCCTCTACTGGTTTTCTCTGGTGGAGAATGGTGAGCAGCAGTAGATGGGGATGCCCAGGTGGGTCTCTAACTTCCACGAGTGGCTGCAGGTGCCAGGGGCTAAAGGGTGACATTTTGCCAAGACTCCCGGCTGGCTCTGCCCAGCCTCAGGTGACCTTTAGCTCTTGCTCGGTTTTCTTACAACAAGTGCTTCACAAACTGGGATTTTGCTCCCCAGGGAACTACTGTCTGGAGACATATCTAGATGTCACAGATTGGGGGGCGGCTACTGATTTGTGGAAGGTCAAGGCCAGGGATGCTGCTAAACATCCTACAATGCACAGGATCCCCCACCCCCCAAACAAAGACTCATCTGGCCCACATGTCAGTAGTATTCAGGCCAAGAAGAGGAATGGGGGAATTGTTCTAGAAGGCTTTTCTTTTCAGACTAAAATGGGATATAGAAATAGTAATATTTAATATATATTACTATTATCACTAACTTTTTTGGTTCTGGAAATCTGTTGTGCCGAATAAAATGGAAAATAGGAGGAACTGAATAGCGCACTGACGTTTCTAAAAGAGCAGGCAGAGGGGGGGAGGCATGCACTATAGTAATGTCAGCAGTGCTAATAAGGGAGGGCATTTTTTTTTTTTTCCTGTTAACTTGGCTTGGTTAAACCTACCATAAATGCCTGCAGCTTTCCCTTGAAGGCCTTGTCTGTGGAAAAGAGTGCTTTACTGACACTTCCCCGCCCCGATTTCATGAGTCCTAGTATTTTCATAACATTTATAATTGCGCTTTCCAGTGCTTGATGCTGAATTCCCATCTGTGGTTGCAGTTTGCTCCCCCACACCCAACTAAGTGCTGATTCAGGCACTGTTTCTAGGAGGGGGAAGGAGGGAAACTTCACACGTAATCTGAAAGGGGGTGTGCCCGAGGGGGCGGTAGGACAAGAATTTTGGGGAAATCAAACCGAATTACAGCTTACTTTGACATTTGTCGAGTCTGAGGACCTCTTTCGCCAGCCTTACCCCAGACCCCTCAGGAAAATGCTCCCCTATTTCATCTTGCTTTGGCCTCACTTGTCTCCGAATGACTCGTATTCTAGACTATGTGTTTTGAAACAGCTAGAGTGTCCTTATTGGCTGTTCTAAATAATGCTAAGGGGGTTATTTGGCCAGAAGTGGAAAGCAAAACAAAACAGAACAAAAACAACAGCTTTTCCTTAAATATCAGATACTATTTTGATCGTCTTCCTTGGGAAGTTATTTTTCACAATGCAGGTCACGATCCGTTAGTGGGTCGTAAAATCAATTTCTGGGTCACAGTTGGCATTTAGAGAAAATCAGGATAGAAAGTCTTACTGGGCATTGTGTATAGTAAGGGTAGCCTTTGTTTTGGTGATTATGGAAAAATGCGTCACCATGTATATTTACACGTGTGCGTGCGTGCGGGCATGTATGCACGCCTGGCGAGAGGCAAGTGGCTTGGGTTTTACCCCGTGGTGAAATCCGGCTTCTTTCCAGATGATTTCATTCTCTCTTCAAGATTTCAGTGATCGCGGCTTGTCTCCTGTCCTCAGCTTTGCCCGTGTTTCTTTTTCAGGTGGAACCAGGGAGATTGGCTCCGCCCTGACCAGGATGTGCATGAGACACAGAAGCATAGAAGCCAAGCTCAGGCAGTTTTCGAGGTGAGGAGCGCGTCTCGCCAGGATCTCACTGGCCCTTGCTGGTTTCCGGGGAAGGGGCAGCATTTTTCCCCCGCAGCGTTGCAGTGCCCACAGCCCGTGATGCTCCTCCCTCACTGATCAAGTGTTCATGGGCCGTCTGCCGCGTGCCAGGCTCTGGGTGGGGTGCTGGGGGTGCAGCGGACAACCGGACGGCCCGGGTCCCTGCCCTCATGGAGCCCTCACCCCACTTTTTGCTCCTTGTGGGTCTCTCCTGGCCTGCCGCCGGCGTGCGAGCAGGGCATGCACCCTCTGCAGGAGCCTCTGGAAGGGGAGCCGTGGTGCTGGGGAGTGGGGCACGCGCTGTTCCCCGGGGGCATCCTCTCTACCCACCACGGATAGCGGTAGCCATGGAGCCCTCCGTGCTGCCGGCCTCTTGTCTGTCTTACCAGCATCCGGAGTGGGTAGAACTGGCAATGGTTGGCCACAGGGATTTGGAGTCACCAGTGTTCCAGTGGGGGGCGGCGGGGAGGGACATTCTTCCAAGCAGATCGGAGCATTCTGCTTTACAGATCGCAAGTTGTGTGAGGGGTTGCCGATGTGAAAGGCCTCTGGCCCACGTGGCCGGGCCACCATGGGAAGTGGCAGAACGTGGTGGGAAGTGCCTGGTCTTGGAGACTGGTAGGCCTGGGTTTGAACCCCAGGCTGGCCGCTCAGGCACGGGCCTCTTGGCTGGAATCTCAGCTACTATAAATTGGGGTGCTTGTGAGAATTTATGGAATGTCCACACATTTCCAGCAGAAAGCACCTGGGTAGCAGGTGATAACATCTGCCCGCCTTCCCTCCTGCTCGCTCCCAGACCATGCAATGCCTCCTCTCCCACATGTCATCCGGGTTTATTTGCAGTAAAGAATGAATGAATGAATGAATGAATGGCGGTACCCTACCCCGTTTTAGGGATGAGGAGACACTGGTTCAACAGCCAGTGTTTATGGAGCACCTACTATGTGCCAGGCACTGTCTTAAGGCGTGTGGGCTATAGCAGTGAATAGAACCATGCCCTGTCCTCACGGGGCTTACACTCTAGACACTGCATACACCTCCCACAGCGTCAGGCCGTGGGAAATGCCACGAGGCGAAATCTGTGGGCTAGGAGACAGGTGGCCACTGTTCCACCCTGGGTGGTTAGGGAGCAAGTCTGTTCAGAAGGACGATTTGAACAGAGACCTGGAAGAAAGGAGGGAGTGAGCTGTGCTGATGGCTGGTGTGTGTGTGAGGGAGGGGAGACCCTGATGAGGAAAGGAGGGAATTGTACCAAGAACCTGAGGATCTTCAGGAGGCCTACCATCAAAAAGTAGTCTGAGAGCACCTTTGTAGTAATTCTCACCAGGGCAATTCGAGCGATTTATGGGCACTTGCTAATTTTTCTACAACATCTCTGTGATGTAGGAATGTATCCATTTTCTTCTGTTACACGGACATAAACCCTGGGACATAAACCCTGGGGGTCTGTGCCTCGCATGGTTCCTCTGTGTGGGGAGGTACCTGGGGATGCCTTCTCTGCTCTTCTCCAGAAGCTGGCCATTCAGCTTTTCCTTCTCCAGGCTGTCCACAATTAGTCTACACTCATGACTTCTAATTCTTTTTTTTTTTTAAAGATTTATTTATTTATTTGAAAGAGAGAGAGAATGAGAGAGAGAGAGAGAGCACATGACAGGGGGGAGGGTCAGAGGGAGAAGCAGACTCCCCGCTGAGCAGGGAGCCCGATGCGGGACTCGATCCCAGGACTCCAGGATCATGACCTGAGCCGAAGGCAGTCGCTTAACCAACTGAGCCGCCCAGGCGCCCCATGACTTCTAATTCTGAATGCACATCAGAATCAATGTGGCTTTAAAAAAAAAAAAAAGTAATACTTATCCACCCCTCCGGGTTCTCTCAGGCATGAGGTCTGGGGTGTAACCCTAATGTCTTTACCTTTTTGAAGCTCTCCAGGAGCTTCTGTTGTGCAGCCAGAGGGGTGACCCCACAGGTCTGTGACCATGCCTGTGAACACAAGAGAGAGAATATAAGCAGGGGAAATGAGAAGAGGGCTCGCTGCATCCAGTCATGTTGACAGCCTCCTACCAGTCCCTGGAGAGCATTCTGAGAATAAGGTCGTTACGAAATGGGGAGATTTGGACGTGAACTTGGGCTTAGGTGCTGCCTTGCCTTGCACCCAGTTGTCATGACTTGGGTAGTTTTGACAACATCACAACAGGATGTATCTGTTTAACTTCTCCTTGTCTGCCCCCCCCCATTTTTTTTTGGGTGAAAGTGCTTTAATCGATTGTCTGATAAACCCACTTCAAGAACAGATGGAAGAATGGAAGAAAGTGGCCAACCAGCTGGATAAAGACCACGCGAAAGGTATGGGGGCAAGCTGTCTGCTGCCTAGCAGCACGTGCCCCGAGCAGAGCTGCGGATGTTGCCGCGTGCCATTGCTGGTGTCCCCCACAGGGCCCCCCCTGGTTCCACGTCTCCCATTTTGGCGTTGGGGGATAAAGACCCCCGAAACCTCCCTCAGCGGCTGGCGGCCCAGGCTCTCAGTGGTCTTAGCTGTGACCGGCTGAATGGAACGTGAACGGTATCGCCAGGCTTCAGTGCCAAAGACTCACGTGTAAGGCATTCCAGCACGTTTCGAAAGCCAACCTTTTAAAGAGAGAAGCTGACCTTGGGTCTCCTGCCCGGAACCACCACCCTCTCTGGATATGCTTCAACGAAAGCGCCTCAGCACCTCGTGTGCCGTGCTCTGGGGGCAGAGTTGTCCAGATGGACACCTCACCAGTTGGTCCTCCTGGACCCAAAGGCTGGGGTACTGGCAGCGTGGAAGGGGCAGGTTGCTCCTAGGATCATACGGCCTGCAGTGAGTGCTGGGGAGAGAAGGCCTATGGGGAGATCAGAGGCGGGAGGAAGCCAGAAGGAAGGATTGGTGCATAGCGGATCCCAGGAACGTGGGACTGAGGGCCCTGAGTGGCAGCATGGGGCTGGGGGGGGCTCGGGGGAGGGAAGCGTCCGGGAAGGCTGCAAGGGAACTGGTCAGACAGACAGTTATTTGAATATGAGGGCAGCAAAGGAGGAGAGAGGTGTCAGAGGCGGTTGTCACCTCAGATGTCCGCATCTGGGTGATGGAGGCGCCAGTGACAGAAATGGGAAGTCCAGGAGCAGGTGTAGACTGGTGGGGGACGAGGAAGTCGTTGTTGGGGGGACGTGGTGTACGTATGTGGGCCGCCCCTCCTCGGGGTCCAGCACCAGCCTTGGTGTGGGTGTGAGAGTGAGGCTAAGGCAGCTGGGCCTTCCTCAGTTTGCCCCCACGCCGTCCGATCTCTCACGCCAGGGTCTCGGGGGCTCTTTGCCGAATTGTAACCCACATGGGTTCCTTTTTGAGCAAAGCACTGCAAATTATGGCCTTTGGGAAAGCAAATCGTATTTTTCAATTTCCTGACATGTGGGCCGAGAAATTGTGGATTTTTCACTTTTAGTAAAATATCCCCGAATGACGTCTTTCTTCACAGCTGATATGAGTGAATACTATCAGGAAAAGACCAAGGTGCATTTTGTGGCTTTTCACGTTAATAATCACCCCTGGGCTATAAAATGTCAGCGTGAGATTGTTATCGTATGGCATTCTGGATGAAGCTCTTCATTGCATGTCATCGTTCGGTTGTTCCTTAAAATATTTTCCGTTGCGCAAAGTGGTAAAATGATTCAATATTCTGCCTTCTTTTAGAATATAAAAAAGCTCGCCAAGAGATAAAAAAGAAGTCCTCAGATACACTGAAACTGCAGAAGAAAGCAAAGAAAGGTAACTGTATGAGTTCTGCCATTAATAGTGTTCCTTTGGGGAAACGAGCAGGCGCTTGGTTTGTCTTTGAAGCAGAAAGCACTGGATTCAGACGGCCCTGGGGAGCAGGAGCACCTAGAATCCATCTGAATTAAAGTTCTCAAGTGCAGAATACCTATTAATTTGAGGCCCTTGCAAAGTTGTATTTGACTTGTTCCCTCCCCCCTACCTTTGTCTCCAAAATTTGACAGTTTCCATGCCTATTGTGCGTTGTAATGAAACCTATAAATTTCTTGGAAGCCTTGGGATAATGCATAAAAGCCTTCATGCCAATGTCCTCTAGTAATTATTACAGGAATTATGTCGTTTTCTCCTCCATCGTTCACAGCCTGTAATCTCCGAAACCCTTTATTAAGCCTTGTGAGAACGTTAGAAATGGCTGCAGTGTGAGCCTGGGAGCATGTGCTTTATAGAGAGCTTTTTCATGGTGTTCGTGAGTGTGGGGACTCCCAGGGAAAACCAGACTGGGGCAGTGTGGCCCTCCGCCCGCCTCCCTGCTTGCTGTCGTCCACACACTGGCCCCCTGTCAGATCTGTGACCTAGCTCTGCTCTTCCAGCGTGGACTGGGAATGTGCAGAGGAAGATCTAGGTATATCCACTTTGCAAGCATTTGTGACATTTTCCTAAGACCGAAAATCTAGGGACTTGAACTTGAGAGGGTGACATTCTTTCCAGGCTATTCTTTTTTTTTTTTTTAATTTTTTTTTTGTTATGTTAATCACCATAAATTACATCATTAGTTTGTGATGTAGTGTTCCATGATTCATTGTTTGTGCATAACACCCAGTGCTCCACGCAGAACGTGCCCTCTTGAATACCCATCACCAGGCTAACCCATCCCCCCACCCCCCTCCCCTCTAGAACCCTCAGTTTGTTTTTCAGAGTCCATCGTCTCTCGTGGTTCGTCTCCCCCTCCGATTTACTCCCCTTCATTCTTCCCCTCCTGCTATCTTCTTCTTCTTTTTTTTCTTAACATATATTGCATTATTTGTTTCAGAGGTACAGATCCGTGATTCAACAGTCTTGCACAATTCACAGCGCTCACCATAGCACATTTCCAGGCTATTCTTGATACCAGCTTTTTGAATTTGTTGTCTCACAACTGTTGAAATGTTTTTGTTTTTTCCCATGAGGAAAAAACTCTGTGTTTAGTGTTTGTTTGGGACAATGTTTGGGACAATTTTTAGGTAGAAACCCCCAAAACCAAATTTCCTCTTTTCCTAAATGGGCTGTTCTCATTTGGAATTAGAGGAAAATACATTCAGAGAGCTGGAGTAGTTTGGTGGAAGCAGGGCAAGGACTGGACAAAGTTTTCAAGCTTTGACATTTTTCAAAAATGTCTTCCCAGTTCTTGTAAAAACCGTAAAAACATTTCACGATAAGGGCAGGAGAATTTTCACCCATAACCAGATTTTCTGTCAGTTTTGGCCTCACCCTTTTGTTTTGGATGTGTTTTCTTGGTACTTTTCAAACGTATGTTCTATCTCCCTGGCACATCTGGGAGCTAGCATTGGACAAGTAACAGGGTTTGCGGCCAGTAACATTTTAGTGAGTCCAGAGGTAAATGCTTATAAATCAAACGGCCATCGCCTCCATCGAATCTGGGGTCCCATGGAAGATCTGGCTGGTAAACATTCAGGACTGATTTCCATGTCGTTGACGGCTTGGTAGCTTTGAGATGAAAGGGATTTGGAAGGAAGGTCCAGGGAAGACACTTAAAGGTTGGGAAAGGTTTGGAAGTTTGGTAAAAAGGAGGAGGGAAGAAAAAGTAGCTGTTTTCCCTTAGCTGTTCCAGAGTTCTCTTTCCAGAGGTCTTAAGTTCTTGGCTGCAGTGATAATCCTTTTATCTGAATTCTGCACGGAGGCTGAAACAGTGTGCATCTATCACTCAAAAGTCCCCGGCATTGTCCAATTAGCAGAATTTGGACCTCCAGGGAAAGGCTGATGGGTTGATTGCAGTGCAACACAAAAGGAAGTTTCTGGCAATTGGACTTGCCCAAGCACTGGCTCAGGCTGCCTAGAGAGGATAATGAGTTCCCCATCGAGGCACCCAAGGGGAGGATTCAGGATGCCTAGGGTGCTGGACTGTGTAACATGAAGAGATGCTTCTGGTTCCAGGGCTCAGTAGAACTGGCATTTGGTTGGGAGGCTTCGTGGGGCACTTGGGCCTGAAGGCAGAGGATGGAGGCTGTGACCAGGGATTTCCAGAAGCATTCTCTCTCAGCCCTAGCCACATAGCTGGTGGTCTCAGGCACCATGTCCTTCCAGACAAGGTGGCCACAGTGGTATAGTTATGTACACGCACCAAGTCAGATCAGTTGCTTGGAATGTTCCAGATGATTTTCTCGTTACTCCAGAGTACAACCAGAAAACAGTTTTCTTTCTTTCCTTTACAAAAATATTTTTTTTCTAAAATATGTAAGTGCAGTTTTTTGACCGAGTGCACATATTTGTGTATGTCTGAGGTGAATGGAACCTTCTAGAAGGCACCAGAATCACCATTCTGTTTATAATAGAGTGCTCTCCTAGAAGATGGGTAGCCTGAGGATGGAGCAGGGATGCTGCAAGTTAAGGGCCAGCAGAAATCTGGTTATTTGAGGCTTCCAGTGATTTGGGGTCTGGTTACCTGAAGTTTCCCTTTCTGCCAGAACTCCTCTTGAGGCATCTGCATCACCTTCCACAGGTGGTGGGTTTCTGGACTCTTGGCTTATAAAGCGTTGGTAGTTTCTTCTGAGATTTACACAATGTGTTATGATAGACACATGCTTCAGATACCTTTTTTTTTTTTTTTTTTGTCCTGATAGAACTGAGTCTGGTAACCAGAGAATCACTTCGCTTTTAATGTGTTTTCAGGAGATCACCAAGCAGCTTTCTGCCGTGTCTTTTTAAAAAACTGTGATCTTTGATCTAAAAGCTCTTCTGACTCTCCTTTTCAAAATTTCAAATGCCTTTGTGCAGTTAAACATGGTGGTAGCACTGCCCTTGACGTAGGCAGACACATAGGGGATGTCATTTTTGTATGTGACTAATTTACTTTAATTTTCACTCTGCAGATACCACCTTTTGTCACATGCTTTATTGGGCTCTTTTTTTCCCCCTATAATAAAGACAGTGATAATTTATAATCTAAAGGTATTTAAATATTACCATCAAAAAAAAAACTTCAAATATTTTTTGGGGGATTTGGTTAGATTTTATCTCAAAACCATTTTAAAACAACTTGGCATCTGCTCCAGCTGTGGGTGGGTGTACCTATTTCCGTGGAAGGCAGGGTTACCAAATACCTACCAGGAATAAACGTGAGGCAGATGTTGGGGGCTGCAGAGATGGTACCCGTCCTCAGAGAAGTTCCAGGCTGATGCCCAGGGTTAGGGACCCAGAACAGAGCCAGCCTGATTGACAGGCGATGGGGAGAAGACCCAAGGCAGCAGGAAGGTAGGGATGTGCTGTGGAGCTGACCCAAAAGTCCGAGCTCTAGAAGATGTCCGATGAGTCCTCATCAAGCCCTGCTGCTTGATGTCGGCTCAGGTCCTGGAGGCTGGCCAAAACTTCACTGGGGAAGTGAGCGTGGATGGATTGTGGGAAACGTGTTCTGTTCTTTGCTTGCTTTTGCCACCTTACTGTACAAAGTCAGCAGCCTTCTCATTTAATTAACTCCCAGATTACTATTAATTTAAATGTAAAAATTAATTATGGTCAAGCCTTCTGTTTCCATCTGAGACTACTGAAAGCTTATCAGGACTTTCTTTGAGTCTGCTAAAACTGGATCGTTCTACTATATTGACCCTGGAGCCTGACATTTCAATAGTTCAATCTATCATTTTTGAGCAGAGGCTGCAAAAAGCCAGTACTATAAACCTAATAAACAGACTCACAGAGGTCCAGATGAAGACGTTATTTGCTCTTCTACTAAAATTTTAACTTTATTATTTTTTTTTCATTTTTCACCCCAGTTTAAATTTTGTTTCCTGGGTTTCCCCAATTACTTTTCAAGTTATAGTAAATTGCACTTGAAAGATTTTCTTGGTGTAAAGCATCTTAATTGGCTTCTTTGGGGAATATAGTCTTCATCTCTCTTCTTAGAAACCGTGCTGTGATCTCTAGGGGGTGATGCTTACTAACGAGGAAGGTTTCTGTTTAGAGGAGAAAGAAAAGTTTTAGCAAGTCAGGGAAGGGACCGTGGATGCGCAGCTGTTGGTGGAGGTGGGGTTAATTGCCCCGACAGAAAATCCCGGTGGCAAACCACGGACTGTTTAACACATGAAAGGAAGGTAAGACTGCTGCTCGAATCCCAGTTTGACTTTATTATTTTCCTTTTTGTGTCAATTGTGTATCCTGCACTTTCTCACCGTGCGCCCCCCGCCAGTGGACGCTCTCGGTAAGTCTACCAACCCGACTCTCTGGTGGCTGGTCACGATGTGGTCCTTGCTGTGGGCTTTCCGTGGTTGTCCAGACCTATGCTAGTTGCCCAAGTTTTCCTGCCAGCTCAGAACAATCAGTTGTGCCTACTTAATTTTCCATAACTTTAAGACAATCGTGTGTGTATGTGTGTGTTTTAATCATTTTCCTTTCTCGGTGTTTGGCCCTTTCACGGGTTAGCCTGACATCCTGAGGGCCTTTGCATCATCATAATTCAGTATTAGACTCATGGAAAGAAGAAATACAGAGTGATTTGCACTGGAAATAAACGTATTTATACATACATATATATCTGAGTATATATGTATGCGTGTATTTATATCACAAAATGTGTAGAACTGCACTAAATAAACCCTCAAAATAATTCCCAAATCAGATTTGGTTGTATTAAGCTAGCAAAATTTCTTTAACTTTGTCTCCCCAGGACCATCTAGTTCTTTTCAAAATGAATAATTCGTTGTCTTTTTAAAAAAATAAAACAAAACAAACAAAAAACAAAAGTATTTCTTATTTCAGCGGAGTTTGTGAAATGTTTCATTTCAAATTTCAGCGGAGTTTGTGAAATGTTTCATTTCAAAGGTATCAGATCTTCAAATTCAGTAATCCCAGTGATTCTTCTTGACTGAATGTTGAACTTCATCCTCTGGGTGATTTGCTCTTGGAGTCTCGTGGCTATCCCTCTGTCTTGGAAAGGTCTGTCTGAGGCGTCCGTGTGGTTTATCTTGCCTTGAGTGTACCTGAGTGTCCTCTGAGACCATTTTTACTGAACAGCTCCAGAGAGGTTTTTGAATTGGAATCTATCCTCTCCAACAAACACCCAAGTGGCCTGGGTCTCCTGTGATAGGTGGGGGGCCGAGATGGTCTGCTATCATTCGCGTAGGACCCCGCTCTGTCTCTACTTCCCCTCATGGCGATGTTGGCCTAGTCGTTCCCCAGCTTCATAAGCAGTGATCTTCTCCAGTCCTCAGTGTTGTGATTGTGAAACACTTTGAACAAAATTTAGTGTACTTTTGGGAGGAAGGTAAGATAGCCCCCCCTTTTAAAAATTTTTTTGCATATTATTACGATTACATTTATATAACCTAAAATTCACCATTTTAAAGCGTACGTTTCCGTGGCTTGTAGTACATTCACAGTGTTGTGCGACCATCGCCACTGATGCCGTAACATTTGCACCACCCCCGAAAAGACACCCCCTGCCTTTTGAGCAGCCAGTCCCCATTCTCCCTGCCCCCAGCCCCGGACACCCACTCATCTGCGTTCTGTCTCTACGGGTTTGCCTCTTCTGGACATTTCATATAAAAGGAACTGCACAATAGGTGCAGGTCATCTTACGATGACACAGAGTTTTACTAGAACCTTCGCTAAGAGCCTGGCGTGAGTCCATCTGTGGAGTAAACTGGGCATTTTGTTCGTTTTGAATGATGGGCAGTAGGGTTGGGGATGAGGAAAGAAACCACACAGCCCTTTGGCTCCATAGCGTAACCTCTGCTCATCTCAGGAGAAATTGCCACAGCTCCCTCTGTTTCTTTCTCTTGCGGGGTCCACAAGGCTAAGCCACAGGGACATGTAATCGTAGCAGTGAACTTGGGCACAAAGACATAAGAGAGTGGTATGGCTTGAAACCCTCATAAACTTTTTTTTTTTTGCAAGTTTTAAATCCTTTTTGAACCTGGACATCTACATTTTAACACAGTTTCACACTAGTTAAAATGTTCTGGTTCAACAAGAGAAAAAAATATATAAATGAAACTATCCTTTGGTCTACTTAGAAGTATTTACCTTGAACCCTGGGTTCCTGCATAAGCTTGGCTGGGGGCCTCCATGAGGGAAGGAATTTACAACTCAAAATGTATTCTGCAGGGATATCCTGCCCCCTCGAGGAATTGAGACTCTAGTGGAAATAAGCCAGCTAGTATAGTCTGGTGTGCTCAGCGCTGTGAGGAGTATGAGCAAAAGGTATAGCAGTGGGCAAAGAAGGAACTCAGCTCAGCCTGGAGGCAGGGAGGTGATAGTGAGCAAGATGGAAAGCGGTCAGCTGGTGGAAAATAGGACGAGGGATGTTCAAGGTAGAGGGGACAGTGTATGCCCACACATGGCTGTCACCATTTAGACGGCAACACCGGAACCCTGGTCAAAGGTGACCGTGTCCCGAGGGGGCACTCCAAGGGCAAGGGTGTGTGCTACCCTGAGTCAGCTTTTCTGGAGGCTGCCAGTCTCCCCACAGGTGGACTGGACCCATAGGAGATCCACAGGGATCCCTCCCCTTGCTCGGCCTCAGCTCCCTGGCTACCCCAACCTGCCTCCAGAGGGTTCCATGCCTGGGCCTCATTTGTGCTCAGACTCCAAACAGGACTAAACTTCTCCGCCATCAGTGCTGAGTGCCTGCCAGCAGGAGCGTGGTTTATGCGTCCCACGGCCACAGCGGGTGTACGCCCACGTACCTGTGCACATTTCTTCTATACTTAGAAAGCCGGCAGAAACCACCGTCAGAATGCCCCTCAGACCTACAGTCAGTGTGGGTCGTTCTCCCTGCCTCCCAAAAACTGGACGTGTCTGGGTCTCTTCCAGCCACCCCTGCCTTTGGTTCTGGAAGAGGGATAGTTCTAGGAGCCCTCTTCCCCAGAGGGAGTTCCCACCTAAACATCTACAGTCTGAGCTGTTACTGGGTCACCTGGCTCTCTTGCCTGGCACGGGGCAGAAGACCTCTCTGCTCTGTTCCTGCTGCTGAGCCCGAGGGACAACTGGCCGCTCAGAAGCTGGCGTGGCTGGCATGAGGGGCCCCGCACGGCTGTCTACCACCCGTGTCCTGGGTGTGTCTCTGAAAGTCGTCAGGAATCGCCAGCCCCTTAGGGCTTCCTGGGCCACTGGAGTAGGGATGGAGCCCAGAGCGCGCCCCCCCCCCCCCCCCCCCGGTTGCTTCTGGCTATCTAGGTTCCAAGACCTGGCCCTGGAAATCTCTGACTACTCTCTGCGGTCACCACCTCACTAACACGTGTCGGCTGTCTGCAGAGCAACATCCCAGCCCCTGTCCTTCCTAAATCCTGCCGTAGGTGGTGAGGGGCTGGCCCGTGGTCCAGCTGCTTCCCCCATCTGTGCTTACACCAGTGCAGAAGGTAAAAGTGTGCTTTGGGCCCGAACAGATGATTGCTCTGTGGAAACTGAAGCTGGAACAGTTCCTTCTGAAATCGGGGGACAGGTGATGGCTTCAGCCTTCGGAGGTGGTTTGGCCACGAGCAGCTTTGCGATGTGTCTGGGGATTTGGATCCAGCTGTAACTCAGCGGGGAAGGCTGTTGAGTCACGGCTTTGCTCCAGGCTTGGGGAAGGCATTTCAGGAGCACGCACATTTAATTATGCGGGAAATGATTGAATGGGTACCAGCCTTAATGGGAAGACCTGTGCGACATGGACAGCAAAGGACTTTGTAATAATGGGTCAGCACTAGGGAGCCACGGCATGATGGGCGTCCCGGCCCTCGGAGCACCGGGCAGAATTGCCGGCAGAGTGAGAGGCGCAGCCAGCCGGTGGGTGACACAGCCAGCCCGTGGAGGCCAAGCCCAGGGCTAGCGGGCCGGTGGGGAAAAGCACAGCCAGGGGACAGCCCGATCCTTCCACCTTGGTGGAAGCAGGAGTGGCGAATTTTCCTTTTTATACCTGGTGCGGCATTCCGGAAGGCTGTCCCTGCCTGAAATCAGTAGAGACGTTGGAATTGAACCTGGAGAAACTCCTGCAAAGGGCTGTTGCATTGGAGAAGAAAGCCAGTGGTCCTCAGAGGCAGGGGGATTCCTTGGCCGTATTTCACAGCTGAGAATTGTAGGTAAAAACAGGCCACGCAGACTGCCTGCCCCAACCCCCCGGGGGCCCAGAGCTGCCAACCCCCTTCCTTTGCAGAGCTGGTCTGTGGGAAAGCCTCACCCCCACACAGCTCACCAGGGGCTTCGCCTGCGACTCTGGTTGCGGATGGCTGATCCCAGGAGCTGAAATGCTGAACTGTCCCTTACACAGTGAGGCTGTTGTCATGGGCTGGAGCGCCGGGCTTTCCTGTGGCTGCCTTCAGGAGCCATGGGAGAGGTATTTACAGTGGCCTGGAGGGGATACAACAGGAGCCCAGTGGAAAGGCCAAGAATTGAAAGAACAGCTTGCTTGCAATACTGATTTCTTACACAGTGTGGTTTTCACCTCCTCAGTGACTGGTGCGGTGATTCGGGGGTGGGGGTGGGGGTGGCAGGTCTGCCTCGCTAGAGCTGCAAGCCATCCCCGGTTTTCATGGGGTAATTAGTTCCCAGATGGTGCAGTCTCTGTCATTCATAAACGTCCTGCGGGAGGACTGCGGATGCGCGCTGTGCAGCAAGCCATTGATGGAGCTAGGTGTGAGTGCCCCCTACCCCACGATAGCCCCCGTGTGCAGCTAAGGAAGCAGAAGTGGCCTCTGCCCCCAAGCTGTCCCCAGGGTGGCAAAGGCATTTATGTTCTAACGTCAGTTGTCTGATGCCTAGGACTGGAGCCAGTTCTGACACTAAATACCCAGAGTTGGCATGGGTCCCAGAGGCTAAGGGCCCAGTCCCACAAGACCGCCCCCACCTCAGTCACTAGCCACAAGTGGGGGTCCCCAGGCTGCCCACACTTTGGCCTGGCCAACCTCGAAGTCAGGGTTTCCTATGGACTCCCCTCAGGTTTGCTAATTCGTTAAAACAACTCCCAGAACTCAGGGAAGCACTGTACTTAGGATTGCTGGTTTGTTCTCAAGGATACAGATGAACACCCCGGTGAAGAGATGCACAGGGTGGTGGTGGGGCGCGTGCAGAGCGGCCGGGCCTCCCCGGGGGTACCACCCCCCCCCCCAACATGTCGGTATATTCCCCGGTCAGGAATTCCTCCTGAAACTGGCTGTTCACGTTTTTATCCCGGCTTCATTACAGAGGTACGATTGAGTAGGCATCGGCCATTGGTGACTAAAA